AGTCTGAAGAGGGCTCCAGCTAGCACCGGACCCACCAGCTTGAGCTGGATAGAAAACTACTTCTTAATATAAAGCAGCGGTTCTCCACCTGGGGGTCGAGACCCTTTTGGGGGTCGAACGGCCTTTTCACAGGGGTCACAAAATGACAGTTATGAGGAACAATGAAAATAATGTTATGGTTGGGGGGTCACCACAACATGAGGAACTGTATTAAAGGTTGCGGCATTAGGAAGGTTGAAAACCACTGATAGAAAGTGTAAGTATACATGTACATATACATACATATGCCTGGTTTTGTTCCTCTGGACAAACCAGCCTAACACACTCTTTAAACCTTAAACCAAACATATCCCTTAAGTCTTCTCAAAACCAAACAATCATTTAGCTTAATGAATAAATAATGTCCTTTGTCCTACGTGGACGCCAACTGGCCACCTCAACTCCAAAGATTCCATGGGAACCTCAAGGGGCAGGGTGCCCATGTTGTCAGGCAGAAATAACTTGGAAAGGAGCATAAGCTGTTTCAAGGTAGGAAAGAAAACACATTTTCAAACTCATGTATGTGGTGGTTTATCCAGTTAGGAAAAAAAGATGTCTTTCTCCTTTAAATAATGTTCACAGTCAGATTTCCATCTCTCTCCCACACTGCGTGCCTCTGCCTTTTCTGGGTGGTAAACTCCTGAGAGCAGATGTCTGTCGGAAACACTGAAACCACCTCAGCTGTCACTAACTCACTCACGCGGTCACTCCCTGTCATTGAACCGATCCCCACTCATGGTGCCCCTCTAAGACAGGGGAGAACTGCCCCTGGGGGTTCCTGGGGCTGTACCTCTTTTACAGGAGGAGGAAGCTTCAAGCCGCTGGAGGTTTTTAATCGCTGACCTTGTGGTTAACAGCCCGATGTGGGGCCCACGACACCACCAGGATTCTAACTTCAGCGCTAGTGATGTGAATTATATGACGGTAATTAGAGCCACTGTAACTACCCGGCAAATTAGGTTTGATGGTCAGGATTTTGTACCAGGCTCGGTTGGCTAATGTACCCAGCCGGGGCCTTTTCTACGAGACTCCGGGTGGGGAGAACAGTTACGTGCTCAGCTACTGACCACGAGGTTGGCTGCTCAAAGCCATCGGAAGCACCTCAAAAGTGAGGCAGGAAGTCTCTTTCTGCAGATCAGTCAGGACAGACCCTCTGGGGCACGTAGTTCTAGGGGCCTTGGTCATGCAGCGGTTACCCATTGCTCTGGGATACTCACGGTCTGCAGGTCGAAACCACCAGCCACTCCTCGGGAGAAAGATGGGGCTTTCTACCCCATAAACATTGACGGTCTTGGAAACCCCCAGGGGCAGTGCTGCCCTGTCCTACGGGATTGCTCGGCCCCGGCATCGTGTGTGTTTGAGTCGACCGCAGTCCTACCACTGGCACGCATGGGAACCAGTATGAATCAGAAGACTTAGCCGCACGCAACTGGTTTGGTGTTTGGTTTTCACATCTTAAAAAAAAGAAATTTCTCAAAATCACAAGAATTCAGTTTACTTCAGGCCATGACTGCTACCCAAAGAAGTGAAGCATCCCATGAGGATGGAGGGCACCCTGTGAGGCTTGAAGGCTCCCTGTGAGGTTTCGCGGCACCTTGTGAAGGTGGGAAGCGCTCTGAGGGTGAGAGGTGCCCTGGGAGGGTGGGAGGTGCCCTGGGAGAGCAGTGCAGGGGTTAAGCACTGAGCTGCATACCACCCACAGGGTGGCACTCTGAACCCACCGGCTGCTCCAGCAGAGAAAGATGTGGAAATCGGCTTCCATACTCTGTCCTACCGGGTTGCTGTGAGTTAGAATTAAGCCAAGGGCAATGGGCAGGGTTTGACAGTGACAGGACCGTCTGCCCATGCAAGACACAGGACCTCTGTCGTTGAATCAATCCCGATTCTCAGTAACCGTCCAGGGCAAAGTGGAACTGCCATCACCTTTACAAGAGCTGACTGCCTCTTCTTCCTCCCATGGAGCGGCTGCGGGGTTTGAACTGCCACTGACATTTCAATGAGCACCGCCCCGTTGTGCTTAACCCACTGCACTACCAGGCTTCCTGACTACCTTTTATTCCTGTCACCTTTCCCACGACCTGGCAGAACTTCAGCCTGGCCGATGATACACCCTTAGAGCTTGGACGAATAGATGAACTCCTCCAGTTCCCAATATTATACAACATATGGTCTCTGCTCTCTTGGGTGGCCTTAAGAACACTACTTTCCATCTCCTTCTGGTGCAAAATTGCTACTTTAAGTAATGTTTAAAGAGGTCCGCTTCATTTTAATTAAGAGAGAAAAATTGTAAGAGTATTGCTGGCCTTATGTTGTTTTCTTCTCACAACACTACCAAATATCTATGTCCGCAAGACGACCAGACACTTTTAGTTCAGAGGCTGGGAGCTTTGTTTCTGGGAGGAAATGTCGAAGGGGCATTCCAGATGGGTGTGCAAAATCGCTGCCTGCCCCCCTCATTTTCACCAAGTCCTTGGCCAGCTCTGGAGAGTGTTCTTAGGCACAGAAAGCACCAGAACATAGCATTATTTCTTCTCAAAACACACTCCTGAGAAACTCTCAAAAAAACACAAGAACAGGCATTCCTATTACCGAATGCTCAAGAGAAAGACGGGGCTTTCTACACCCATAAAGAGTGACAGTTCTCAGGACCTCAAGGGGCAGTTTTACCCTGTTCTCTGGGGTCACTATGAGTCAGCACGGACTCGAGAGCAGTGAGTTGTTCTGATTACCTACTGCTGAACAATCCCTTTTTAATTTAAGACAACTCTGTGCTTTAAATACTAGTGCTAATGGTGTAGTGGGTTATGCACTTGACTGCCAACCAGAAGGCCAACAGTTCAAACCCTTCAGCCGCTCAAAAAGGTAAGCCAAACTCACTGCCATCGAGTCAACAGATTACACAAATTCACTGTCATTAAGTCAACAGATTACACAAATTCACTGTCACTAAGTCGAAGAGACGCTACAGGTCAAAACAGCACTGCCCTTGTGGGTTTCAGAAGCCACAAGTTTCCCTCCCTACCAATTCTAAAAACAACAACAAGAAAGCTCACTGCCATCGAGTGAATATTAACTCATGATGACCCTACATGACAGGGTAGAACTGCCCCTGTGAGTTTCCGAGGCTGTAACTGTTTACGGGAGTAGAAAGCCTTGTCTCTCTCCTGCAGGGCTGTTGTTGGTTTTAAACTGCGGACCTTGCAGGTCATAGCCCAACGTGTAACTACTATACCACCAGGGCTCCCACTCCACCAGCCACCACTCAGGAGAAAAATGTCCAGCCTCAGAAATCCACAAGGGCAGTTCTACTGTCCTATCCTGTCGCCATGATTCAATAGCAGTGAGTCTGCATACTCTAGACAACTCATCAACAGGCTCAACTATGCAGAGGATACCAGACCAGCCTGCTTGCTGACAGGACGGAGAACTTAAAGCACTCACACCTCAATGGAAAGAAAACAAACACCCAAACAAACGGACCAGGAAGCATCAAGCGACAGGAAGAACAGGTGGGAATCGTCAAGGATTGCATTTCATTTCGATCTGGAATCAATGCTCACAGAGACAGCAGACGGGAAATCAAACAATGCACTGCACTGCACTGGGCAAGTGAGCTGAAAAAGACCCTGTTAGGGTGTTTAAAAATCAAAAAGCACAGGTGTCACCTTCAGAACTAAGGTGTGCCTGACCCGAGCCACGGGATTTTCCATCGCCTCATGGGCAATGAGTAAAGACTAAAGAGCAGACGCCTCTACGGTATATTAAATATGCCAGGGGCTCCCAGGACAAATCTGTCTTGAAAGAAGTACAACCAAAATGCTCCTTAGAAGGGAAGGATGGCAGGACTTCATCTCATACACTTTGCGTTTTATCAGAAGAGACCAGTCCCTAGAGAAGGGCGTTCATTATACTTGGTCAATCAGAGCAGTGAAAAGGCGAAGACCTCAAGGAGCAGATGGCACAGTAGCTGCAGCAACGGAGATGGGCTCAAAGGTCACAATTGTGAGGATGGTGCAGTTTGTGGAAGGAAACTTTCCCTAGGGTTTATGGAAGCAAACGTCTCAGCTTTCTCTGGTTCAGTGGCGGGTGGGTTCAAACTGCCGGCAGATGGGTTGGCAGGCCAGTGCTACACCACTGGATCACCAGGTCTTGCGGGTGTCATTCTATAGGACTACAGCCATCTAAATCCGAGCTCATCTTTTAAAGTATGCTGTTGTAATTGTTGCTAGGTGCTGTGCAGGTGGTTCCAACTCCTAGCGATCTCGTGTACAACAGAACAAAACGGAACCCAATTGTTAAAGTTTGAGCCCATTGTTGCAGTTACGGTGTCAATCCATCTCATTGAGGATCTTCTTTTTATCACTGACCTACTTTCCCAAGAATGATCCCAGGACTGGTCTCTCCAGAGAATACAGATGAAATCTCACCATCTTTGTTCCCAAGGAGCAGTCTCGCTGTACTTCCTCCAAGAATTAAAGTTTGTTCTTTGATTCTTTAAAGAAGATAGCCCTGTGTAAGTAGTATTCAGCTTGCTAAGTGGAGGGGGTGGGGAAATAAAACTCACCTTACAACCTGGAGTTTTGAAAAATAAAATACAAAAAAAAGCAAAACGACTTGTAAAATATGTTGACAGATACCAACTTGTAATAATAGCTACATCTCCCCGCAATGGGAAACACTGCTACCCGGGCTGCAATTGTTAACTATTGGCTTCACATGCAAAGACCTATGAGCTACTTTAGAATGAACGTGATCCATCCACGGATAAATCCTGGGGTGTGACATACGTACGGTTCTGCACCGAGCGCAGCACCTGGGGAGGGCCAGAGGCCGGCAGGCCCGGCCCCCGCAGCTGGTGACTGCTCATCCACCGGGCTGCCCTGGGCGGTGGCCCGCCGGGGTGGGGCCAGTGCTGCAGCAGGGCAGGCCCATGAATGGCAAGGCGGGAAGCGCCGTCTCACCTCCACTTCCCTTGGCCGACTCTCCGAGCCCAGTTCCAGGACCCCCCAGGTGGCCCCGAGAGCAAAGACAGATTTTCTGGGCTCCCGGGTCCGCTCAAAGTTTATCGGTCTCTCCTAGGGACCGGGGACGCCGGGCTTTGTAGTTCGCCCGTCCAGAGCACTCCAGCGCGGCCTCGCGGCGCAGGCGCCGCCAGACTACAATGCCCAGAATGCTCCGCGAGCTCGCGCTCCCCTCCCCCCGGCGGCCGGCCCGGGCATCTAGGGCAGCGCCCCGCCGGGCCGGGAGGCGGGGCTGTCGCCGCCGTGGGCACCGCACCACCTGCGTGCCCGCTCGCGCCCCTCGCCCCCCTCGCCCCTGGACTCTTTACCTCGGTGCCGCACGTGGCGGACCGACCGATGGCGCCGAGGTTCAGGGAGTGGGGGTGGGGTCCAGGCCGTCGCGGAGTCCGTTAGTTCACGACGTGCGTGAGAAGGCAGCCAGGCGGCAGGCGGTTACCATGGCAACGTGGGGTGGGGGTGGGGTGCGTGGGGCAGGAGGTGGCGGGCAGAGACCTGCAGGCGCAGAGGGCTGCGGAACCCGGAGGCCGCGGGCTGCAGTGGGGAGCCGCGACCCGCTCCCACCCGCTCTAATCCGGCGCTGATCCTGCGACCTAAACGCCCTCTGGGCGCGTGGCTCTGCAGCCGGAGAATTGCAGTCCCTCACGCCTCCTTCCTGCCATATTCCTCCGGGCAGGACCCCCTGCCATCAGGCAGTGAGGACTCCTGGCGATCCAAGGGGACCCGGTAGAACTGCCCCTTGAGTTTCCAAGACTGTAACCCGTTTGGGGCGCAGAAAGCCTCCTCTTCCTCCTGCAGGGCAGCTAGTGGTTTGGAACTGCGGAGCCTGCATTCAGCAGCCTAAGGAGTCACCACTGGGCCACCAGGGCAGGGCTCCTCTTCCTCCGGGGAGATGGGTGGAAATGAGTCATTTCATCCACTCGAGTGCATGTGGCAGTGAGAATGATCCTAGCTCTTTGGGAACTGGCGCCTTCCCCTTTGGGTACCTGCAGCCCCAGCGACCCCCGTGATGGAGTAGATCCGCCCAGAGCTGTCATCTAAACTGAAGCAGACCGCCAGGCCTTTCTTCCGCCTTGCCGCTGGATGAGGTCAAACCACCCACCCATTTGGCTGGAGGGAATGTGCTCAGTTCTGAGAGGGAAGAGGGAGGAGCTGAGCAGGGTTAAAGGTTGCAGGTTAGCCCCTCCGGGCCCAATTTTAAGAACAGAATTTCTCATCTTCTGTTTTTTGTTACTGCCCCTCACCCTTAGACATTTTTTTCTTTTCATCACCGCCCCCCAGGACAGTTTCAGACCATAGCTGTGCATGTAACTGTGCGTATTCGTGGCTCCACTCTGTACATAAAAGGACTTTTTTTTTTTTTCACTTTTTCTGTTGTTGAGTGCTGTCAGGTGCATCCCAACACATGTCAATCCCATATGACAGGTGAGAACTGCCCCCTTGCGTTTTTTCTAGGCTGCCATCTTTACTCTAGAAGACAGTTACAGCCTCAAAGACCCACAGGGACAGATCTACCCTGTTCCTTAGGGTCGCTATGAGTCAGCATCGGCCCGATGGCAGTGGGTTTAACTTTTGATGTATGTATGTATGTATGTCATGTTCCCCTGCGAGGAGCCCTCGTGGCAGAGTGGTTGAGGTGATTGACTACTAACTGAAAGGTTGGCCGTTCAAACCCACCAGCGGCTCCACGGGAGAAAGACGAGGCCATTTGCTGCAGTAAGGACGTACAGACTCTGAAACCCTGATAAGCAGGTCTCTGCCCGCTGGGGCTACTCTTGAGTCCGAGGGTTTGGGTTTGGGGGCTGACATTGTCCAGGCATTCTCCCGAGAGACAGCAGCAGGCATGTAACCGAGCCTGGCGTGGCACTGATTAATGGCATTTGGGCCAGCATCTCCCTCGATATCGTTGGTGGCTTCTCCAGAATGATCTCCGAGAAGCAGAATCATATCATGTCAAAGGCGGGTTAGAGCCTACGTTTCATGAGTTCGCTTCCTGGCGCTGTGCTGGTCTCCAGGGCCCTGTTACATGCTCCATACTTCCATATTTTAAAATGCAGAATTGAAATAATATCTATCTCCTAGAGCTCAGGTGGGACATAAATGCAGAAATACGGATAAAGCACTACCATTACTGAGCATCTTGAGCTGCAATTCTACAGAAGGACCTTGACCAAAGAGGGGGAAATGAAGAACCGAGTTTCACAGTCTAAAGGGATTCCAGAATTTCTGGATCCACAGAGGCTGAAGGAACCCTTGAAACTATTGCTCTGAGATTTTTAAACCTTAAACCAAAACTAGCCCCAACGTCATCTTAAAGCTAGACAATACTCCCCCCAAATCTCTTACCTCCATTTAACCATGAGGAAAACCTCAGACAGATGCCAGTAGGGGAACGTGCTTCACAACACCTGACCAGTGTTCCTCAAACCCTCAAGGTCACCAAAAGCAAAGGACGTCTGAGAAACGTCACAGCCTAGAGGTCTCAGGTGACAGTGAAAGTTGGACATTGAACAAAGAGCAGTCGATGCATCTGGATCGTGCTGCTGGAGAAGAAGATGGAAAGGATCCCAGGCTGCCGAAAGAACAAGCATCCGCCGTGGGAAAAATGCAGTCAGGATGCTCCTGAGAGGCAAGGATGGCAAGACTTCATCTGACCTACTTTGGACAAAGTACCAAGAAAGACCAGTTCCTGGAGAAAGACATCAGGCTTGGTAAAGTCGAGGGGAAGCGAAAAAGAGGAAGGCCCTCCATGTGATGGGTTAACAACGTGGCTGCCACAATGGGCTCAAACGTGAAAACAGTTGTCACGATGGTGCAGGACTGGGCATGTTTCATTCTGTCCATGCCATGAGTCGAGACTGGCTCAGTGGCATCCAACAGCAAAAGAGGCCCTCATTGAGGAGACACGGCAGCTAACTATAGCATGGGACCCTGGGACACGAAAAAGACGTGCGGTAAAACTAAACACAGCAGAATGTAGACTTCAGGGACTATAAATCCATCAGTATTGTTACATCAATTTGTCAAATGTATCGTAAGATGGTAATGGGGCAAAGACTTCGGGTACATGAGAACTCTACTTTCCTCT